GAGTTTGTAGGGGATGAAGGGAGAGGGAATTCAAAAATAATAGACACTTTAGCAACCTCAAAATGGCAGGATGAAGGGCTGCTGTTGGGATCAGGATGGTGACTGTCCCTCTCCCCCCTAACACTGCTCTTGAGTCAGAGATTGGGACTGGGGAGATGTTTTATAGGAATGGGACTCCTGTCTGGGGGCAGTGGTGAAATGCTGGGTGTGCTGTTTTCACCACATGCAAGAAGTGGGGCTCTCCCTTCCACTGGATCAAAATTTGGGTAGTGCGGAAGCCAGAGGTCAGTAATAGTAGGTCTCTAAGAACATGAAAATTGCTTTCTCCTTACCCAGAACCACCCCCACAACCCTGCCAGCCTGGAGGCTCAGAGGCATTCCTCAGTCATTTGGGGTGTTGGGATGGCCCTCCGTGACCCCATCTCGGAGGTTAGGAACCAGGTCAAACATAGTTTCTCTTAATAGTGAATCTTATCCAGAGGTTATCTAAACCTTCACTGATCCTATACGTACTTTCATGGTCCAATTAATCACACATTGTATGTAAATTAGCATTTCCTTTCTTTTCTCCTAAAGTTACCTCTTTCAAGTTAAGCAGTCTCACAATTAGAGCGTCATAGAATGTCAGCTCTCAAGGGAATTTAGAATTAATTTTAGCTTGAATCCATTTTACAGATGAGAAAACTGAGTGACTTCCCAAAGTTACACAGATAGAGACTGAGCTGGGGCTAAAACCAGTCTCCTGGCTCTTGGAACAGCCATACTTTCCCGGGATTTGGTACACACATACCCAAATTCAGTCTCTCTGCACCCATGGCCCCCTTATATGAGAAGTGATCGACTTTGGGCTTGGCCCCTCTCAGTTGGCATGTCTGAGTTCTGGAATCCACCCTCCTCCACCCATCCCCACCCGCTGCCTCCTGTTTGGCCTTCACTGTTTCTGAGTTGCAGCAACCAGACTTGACACAGAATTCCAGATGTAGAACAGATGTCATTGCCAGGCGATGGGGGCTCCCAGCTTCCTGGGGTGGGGAGGGAGAAAGAGTGGCTCTGATGGGGGAGGACCCCAGCCCCAGCCTGGTCAGAGGGGTGTGATGGGAGCTGGGGGGTAAGGAAAACCAGAGGGAGGATGTTCTGGGCCTGATGTGCAGAGAATGGAATCCTTGTCTCATGGGCTAGCTGGGCTGCTGGGGCTGAGGCAGCCCCTGGATTTGAGGGGCTGTGGGGTCGTTGGGGTCAGGGAAGCGGAGGCTCAGTGAACTCTCTTTCAGGTGCAGACCTGAGCATGCAAGCTGGTGCAGAGCCAAGACTTCTGGGTGGTTTGATAAGTGTCTCATTACCTTGTCACATAGTTTGGGGGACAGAGCTCTGGCAAGTGAGTGGAGCACAAAAGGAGACAGAGGTGGGCACAGGAGGAAGATATTTTTAATCCTATGAGAACAGATGAGGTAGTGTGCTCCCCAGTCCTAGTAATGTTTAAGTACAGAGTTTCTCTCCCTGTGAATTTGCTGTTCTGTCTCTGTGCTTTCTAAGCATTTTGTTAGGTATCTACTAGGCGCCACATAGTATGCTAGGCAGTTTCCACATATATGATTCACATCATCCCCAGCCTTGAAGGGAGTTCCTGTCATTTTTACAGATAAGGAAATTAAGGCCTGGAAAAGCATGAGGAACTCTGTGTCTTATTTTCTTTGAGTGTCTCCGCATGTCCACTCATCTCTTCAAGGAATGTTTATTGAGCACCTACTGTATGCCAGGCACTGCTTTAGGTACTGGAGATTTAGAAAGCTGACTAGGACATAATCACGAGCTTGTTGCCTAGTTGAGGAGAAAAGCAAATCAAAAATCTAAAGTGATAACTGCAATGACTGAGGTTCCCACGGTCTGATGGGGCAGAAAAAGGAGAGGCGTCTAAGTCAGACCCTGGGATGGCACAGCTATTGTAGGGAGAGGGAGCAGCATGAACAGCGCATGGAACAGCAACGTGCTTTCAGAGAACTGATGTGGTTTGGTCTGGTGGGGACAGGGGGGTGCAGGAAACATGAGGTAGGCCGATCGCACTATGTGGCTTTGCTGACAAGTCGGCTGTGGCTGAGCCTCTCCTCACGATTCCACATGAAGGGAGCCCTGCAGCCTTCCCTGTGTCCTAGGCAACGGTCGGAGCTCTCCTTCCAGCTGTTGGTGGGAGGGGCTTAGTGTGTTGTAAGGGAGGTGGCCAAGGAGGGGGCGGGGAGGGAGGTTTCTGAAAGAAACTGACGTGTGTCTCCTGGGAAAGGAGAGTGGTGGTGGTGTCATGGAGAATTGTCCCTACACTGAAAACAAGTTGTAAATCTGTTGGGCTCTGAAATTCAGCAGTGACAAGGCACTGATGTTTATGGCAAGTTCTTGCTAACTGAAGGAGGCATCTCGTCTCCATTCCCCTCCCTCCCACCTGCCTCTTTCCTGAGAGTTCACTGAAAAATGGCACCCTGGCTTAAACCAGGCCCCCACTAATCCCACGAAACAGCACTGAGCTGGCCCTCGGGCTCAGCAGCCAATCTTTTCTGTCTAGGTTCTAATTGGCCTCATAAAATCTAATTTATCCTGTAAGTGGGTAAAATAATCTGTCAGAAAAAGGAGATTGAGAGATGGCCCTGGGGCTCCCAAGCAGAGAAGCTGTGTCTCTGGCAGGGTCTCACTGAGGAGACTGAGGAGAAGGGATTGCGGGAGAGGGAGGCCCCCTCGAGGAAGAAAGCTGGCAGGCAGCAAGTGTCCACTGTGTCCGCCTAGTCCTGAGAGGGACAACTGAGAAATGCTCGTGGGAGGGGCTTTGGGGTCAGCCATGGCAGTGGGCTGGGGTGACAGGAAAGGGGTAGCCATGAAGCCACTGGACAAACAAGTCCCACTCCCCAGAGCATCAGCTTTTCTGAAAAGATTTGGTGGTGTAGGAACCATGTTTATATTAAAACATAGCTGTGTAATGCAGCAGAATGCAAAATGTGCCAAAGATTTCAAAATAAAAACATTTCAGGCAGTCAGCAAGCCTCCTGAGTGTGCTCTCCTCTGCTGCTGGCAGAATTTTGGTGAAAATGAGAAATGTGGAGACTCTTCATTTTAAGGCTGGGGAAACTGAGGCCGAAAGGAGGAAAGTAGCACACTCAAGGTCGTAAACAAATGATGGACCCAGGACTCTGCTGCAGGCTGAAGCTTGTCCCACTACATCCCATTGTCCGTCTAGGCAAGAAGAAGGATAGGTAAGGGACCTCCAAGTGGCTGTGTGATGTGAGACTCAGGAAAAACGTCAGCCAGGGAAGGCAGGGGCAGCTTCATGGAGGGCTGGTGCCTGGGCTGAGCCCTCAGGAGGCATGTCCTGGGCTCAGAGGTTGGGTCAGGCACTGAGGCAGTGAGAACTCTTATTTGGGAGCAACTGTCTCCTCAATGCTGGGTTCATCCTCAGAAGGTCAAAGAAGGACAGACCCCTCTTCTGTGCCTCAGTTTCCCCATCTATAAAACAGGGAATCTCAGGCTTTGCAGACATTTCCACCAACACGGGGTCCTGGACAGCCCTGTGCTCTCTGAGGGGGACCCCAAGTTCTCGCCACATCTACATTCCTGTTGGGTTCTCATTCTGCCTTATTGTGTGCTGGGCTCCTCAGAGGTGGGGAAGCCAGACATCTGCCGATCCATGAATATTCAGGAAGGGAATCGGAGCCTCCTCTGGGCTCCCCAGCCAGCTGCTGGCCCCTCTGGCTATCGTCCTGCTCGTCAGAGCCCAGGCTGCTGACAAACCCAGCAGCTGCTAGGGCCCCAACTGTTCGCATTGTTTGCTCGGCGCGGCAGGGGATTTTCCAAGCCCGGGACATGCTTTGGGGGGTGGGGAGGAGGCTGCCGGAGGGCTCAGGGATTCGTGTCATGTGGGGCTTTTCTCCCCTGAAACTCAAACTGACTGCTCAGCGGCTGGAACGGGGCATTTGGAAGCTGCTGGGCTGAGAGCCCAGGCTGGCCTTCTCCCTTCCCTGTGTTTGAATCATAGAATCTAGGGCCTCAGAGATAGAAGGGACAGGATGTTATGAACAGTGATTAGCATTTGTACAGCCTTTCATACTGTCTTTAAAGAATGAGCCTATTCCTTGAGTGATGTTCATTGGGCTGTGGGCTGAAGCCCTGACATACAGCATCTTGTTTAATCCTCACAGGCTTGCCAGTATCATCTTCATTTTACAGATGTGGAAACTGAGGCCCAGAGAGGGTTTAGGGCTTGTCACACAGCTGGTAGGTGGAGTAGGGAGACTGGAACCTTGATCTTCTGCCCCAGGGTCAAATGCTCTTTCCTCCACAGCACACAGCCTGCAGTGGTGGGAATGCCAGTTTGGTTTCCCAGTTAGAATGGAAACTGGGTGAGGGCAGGGCTGCCTTCTCCTCCCTGCACCAGCTGGTAATGCTGAGCCCAGCTGTGTAGGTGGGGGTGCCAGCGGAGCCTTTCTGATGGATTGAGAAAGGCAGAGGCCCGGTTCAGGCCCTGTCTGTCCATCTGTCCTTCGTACTGCAGTGTCAGAGCCCTGGCTTCTGCCCTGGCCTCCTTGTCTCAGCCAGTCAGGACTTCTCTGTGCTCCTCACTCTTGTTCTCCTTTGAGGGTGACGGGAAGGGAGCCTGTGGACAGACAGGAATTCTAAGTGTGGGCATATCTGTGCCCAGGTGTTGACGAGTGTGGCAGAAACTGGGGTGTGTTGTTCAGGTCTGGATGATTGTATACAGTTTTGTGTGTGTCCAGATGGTGTTCTGCGTTTGCTCAGGATTAGATGTGTCCAGTTCACTGAATAATCCTAAAATCAGAATCTCAGATGTCACCTGCTATGTTTGCATAAACTGAGGCCCAGAAGGAGAAGTGACTAGCCCAAGGTCACACAGCTAGACTGTGACAGAGCTGGGTCTAGAACTGAGGGTTGCCCGATTCTGGAGCCATTGTGCTTTCTGAATGACATGGCTCCACATGGCTCTGTCAGCCTGGACCTGCCTCGCGATGAGTATGGGCCATTGTCTCCACTTCTGTCCCTGGTTCACTCTCAGACATGTCCTTCTGCCTTGAAGGAAGGAGTTGGGCCACAGGATAAGGAGGGACCTTGGGCCTTTAAGCTTTTAAGGGATAGGGAGGCAGCAGGTCAACCTTCTGGAAGACACAACTGGGAGAGCCAACCATTTCTCTATGAATAATTGTTAGTGGGTGCTGCTGAAATGTTGGTTAAAGTCACCAACATTGTCCTTTGTGTGTTTTTGCCCTGACTCTGGGATGGCATTCCCTTCCTCCATTGTTCCTCTCCTCTTCCCTTTGTGGCAAGGGCGGTGTTAGAGCTGCAGGCTCTTCTTGGGCCTCTGGAGAGAAGAGAGCCCTGGACAGGGTCAGGAGACTGGGTTCTGGATCTGGCTTGCCATGTGGCCTTGGGGAAATTAGCTGCAGGAAGCAATGCTTAGCTCTTCCAGTCACTGGGGCAGATGAGGCAGCTGGCCCCCAGGCCTCCATCCACCGGGTGCCCCATGAGCCAGGGGAGCCCCTGTTGGGCTTGCTCTGAATCCATCGTGAGTTGGGCCCCTACCTGATGGGCATAGAGCACTTAGCTTTGCCCGGTAGGTCTGCTCACTTTGTCCATTGTGGGGCGGGAGGAGGGAGGGGAGGTCTGACTTCCCTTCATCCGGGTGGCTCCACAAACCAGCTGGGATTTATTTTTATTTTGTTTCTTCAAGGTATATAGATATACATGCACGTGCACTTTCTCACACTTGCAATACATTTTCTTTTTAAAAAATTTTTTATATATAACTATATATTTTTTGTGAGGAAGATCAGCCCTGAGCTAACATCCAATGCCAATCCTCCTCTTTTTTGCTGAGGAAGATTGGCCCTGGGCTAACATCCATGCCCATCTTCCTCTACTTTATATGGAACCCCGCCACAGCATGGCTTGACAAGCGGTGTGTCGGTGTGCGCCCGGGATCCGAAGCTGTGAACCCCGGGCTGCCACAGGGGAGTGCGCGTACTTAAGAGCTGCGCCACCGGGCCGGCCTCACAATACATTTTCAGTAATTCTTGGGTATAGTATTTTTGTAGCCTACCGTATATTTTGGTTGGGTAATAGTGGCTGAAACGATCTGTAAGTTTCCAGAGGAGGGAATGAACATTACTGAGCCCCCATTCCATGCCAGGCCAGGCACTGTGCTATTCTCCTTTCCCACACATCCTCCCGCTTAATGCTCACAGCAGCCCTATGAGGAAGGAGTTCCTATGTCTTTTTTTATTGAGATATAGTTCACGTACCACAAAATTCACCATTTAAAGTGTACAAATCAGTGGTTTTTAGTATATTCACAAGGTTGTGCAACCATCACCAATATCTAATTCTAGAACATTTTCATCATCCAAAAAAGAAACCTCATATCCCTTAACCGTCACTCCTCATTCTTCCCTCTCCACAGTATCTGGCAACCATTAATCTACTTTCTGTCTCTATAGATTTGCCTATTCTGGACATTTCATAGAAATGAGATCATACAATATGTGGCATTTTGTGACTGGCTCCTTTCACGTAGCATAAAGTTTTCAAGGTTCATCCACACTGTAGCACATGTCAGTACTCCATTCCTTTTGATGGCTGAGTAATATATTTATCCATTCATCAGGTGATGGGCATTTGGGTTGTTTCCATTTTTTGCCTGTTTTGAATAATGTTGCTGTGAACTGTGTGTTTTTGTGGACGAGGAACTTGAGCAGCCGAGGAAGATAGGTACGGAGAAGGGCAGCGGTTTGCCCAAGATCACAGTAAGGGGCAGAGCCAGGATCCAGACACAGGTCTTTCTGTGAGACCTCTTTCTCCATGATTTGCCCCAGCCCCTGTGTGGGTGACTCAGAAGCTGGGGTCTGTGGGAGGTGGGAGGACCCATACTGATGGTCCTGGTGCCCCTTCCTGTACTCAGGGGAGCTGCCGTTGTCCCAGGAGGCGACTGTGGAGCTGAGCTGTGGAGCAGGGCCACTGCGGGTGATCCTGGGCCCAGAGCAGGCTGCGCTGCTGGACTGTAGTCTGGGTGCTGCCGCTGCCGGACCCCCGACCAGCATCACGTGGAGCAAGGATGGAGGTGCCCTGCCGGAGCACGACTACCTGCGCCTGCTACCCAATGGCTCGCTGTGGCTGTCCCAGCCGCTAGCACCCAATGCCAGTGACGAGGCAGCCCTGGGGGTCTCCAAGGTCATTGAGGGCAGCTATTCCTGCCTGGCCCATGGTCCCCTTGGAGTGGTGGCTAGCCAGGCTGCGGTGGTCAAGCTTGCCAGTAAGTGCCAGCATCTGGGGGCTGAGCTGAGACCCGCAAGACCTGGGGTGTGGGAAATGGGATGTGCAGTCAGTTGCTTGCACAAAGGCTTATCTCTTGAGCCCACTCCCCCTTTCCCTGCCCGCCCCTCCCCCCGCCCTTCCTGCTCAGTGAGTCCCTTCCTGCTATTATCTGGCTCAGGGCTCAGTGGTCCCTCTTCTTCTCCACTCCTGTTCCTCCTCCTTTTCTTTCCCTTTGAGCTCAAGAGTCTAGAGTTGTGCTCTCCTCCAGGAAGCCTGCCGGAGAGACTTGTAAGAGTGTCAGGGGCACAAACGTGCCTCCTCAGGGAGCTCCCCACCCTCACAGCAGGTAGAATGTGTGGAGTCACACCCCATTGTCCAGCCCACCCCCTGGGGCCTCTTGGGAGGTGCAGATCACCATGAAATGATTTTCAGGCCAGAAGAAATGTGCATCTCACTGTAGTCTGACCATCATGGTGATGTTAGGCTGCGGGACTTTGGAATTCATCCTGCCTGCAGCATCTGACCAGTCATCACCACTTCTTATCCTCTGGCTGCCTCTCTCCGACTGTGTCTCCATTGGTCTAAATTTGCTCTGCCCGTGTTTCTATTACCCTGTGTTTCTCTGTGTCCCTGTATGTGTGTTTCACTGTCTCTGCTCGCTGTGGCCTCTCTCCCTCGTGTTCCTCTCCTGTCCCTGCCCATCTCACTGTCCTCATCCCCAGCACTCGCAGGCTTCTCTCTGCACCCGGAGTCTCAGACGGTGGAGGAGAACGGGACAGCTCGATTTGAGTGCCACATTGAAGGGCTGCCAGCACCCATCATTACTTGGGAGAAGGACCAGGTGACAGTGCCTGTGGAGCCTCGGTGAGTGCCCTGTCGGGGAGTGGGGTGTGGGTCCCAGTGGGCAGGCCAGAGAGGGCTCTGGGATGTGCTCAGGAACTGGGATTCTTAGAGTTGGGTGGCTCAATTTGCCCAAACTGACTAGGAGCCCACCACCTGCTGACTCTTAGCTTATTTCTGGTCCTAAAGAGAAGGTGGGCAAGAAGATTTTGCTTCCTGAGAGGAAAGCCACCCACCTAGCTATGGACCTTGGGTAGGGAGTAGTGATAGAGTCCTTCAGAGCGTATCTAGTCCAACCACTTGCTTTATTGAGAAGGAGACTGAGGGCCCCAGAGGAGCTATGTTTTATCCAAGGCCACATGGTGAATCATTGGCAGAATATTCGTTGCTCATTCAGGGCCTGGAGAGTTTTCTCTTTGCAGGCTTCCTCTGGAGTTTCTACCCTAGATGTGTAACTTCTCTTCTTCTCTTGGTTCCATCCAGTGGGGTGCAGCATCTGATAAATGGGGTGTGGAGGTCCTTCCTGTTTCACCCTCCTCTCTCCCCATAAAGGCAGTGGGTAGGTGGAACAGTCCCAGGGAAGAGTTTGTAGGGCAGAAGAGAGGCAGGGGCTACACTCAGGACTTGATCCCCATTGTGGCCTCCTGGGAAGGCCCAGATGTACATGCCGCATGACCGGAAAGCACGAGGCTCCTTTGCATCTATGGTCTCTGAGTTGGTCTCATGACTTGGTTGTCACCCCATGGATTCTTATATCTTTGGAAATGTGGCTCCCAAGTCCTTTCCCAGCCACCGTATGGTCCTCTCCCTATGTCTCTGTAGCTGTAGTTACCAGCTCGCTCTCTCCTTCCCTCCTGATGGAGGTGGGGCTCCTTAGGCTCCGAAACTCTGGTTTCCAGATCTCCCTGCCCTGGGACTAACCTGTCCTGAGCATGTTGAGTTGTCCCAGCCCCTCTGACTTTAGCCCATGTCTAGGTAGGGGTGAAGGTGTAGGAGAAACTTCTGGGTAGAAAAGCCACAGGACACATCCCTGCAACAGTTGCGTGGGAGGAAGAAGGATGAGAGGTCAAGATATAAGTGATCCTGTTGACTTTGGCCAACTTTTGGTTTGCCCCATTGGTCCTCAGCAAGTCACTTCTCACTCAGCTTCATTCTCCCCATCTATAAAATTAAAGGGAAAAAAAATGAAAGGGTTGGATTAGATCATGTTTTCCGAAAGTGTGTTCTTTGTAGAACATTAGTCCCTGAAGATGCTTCTTGTAAAAAGTGTTCCATGATCAAAGAACAGGAAACTGCCTATAACTCACCCTCTTGGAGTTGACAAGGCCCTGACAAGTCCTGTACTGAAAACCTGTTTGACTTGATTAACCAGGTGCTTCCTAGACTCACTTGCCCAGAGCCCCTTTTGCAGCAAATCTGTGAAGATCGCATGAATGAGCATTCTAGGGAGTGGACCTTCAGAAGGTTGACCCAGCCTTTCTAGCATTGACATTTTAAGTTCTGTGCCTTCCTAAATGTGGGGCCTCTCACCGCTGTTTGCTGGGTGCTTCCTGGAAGTTGCTGGTGAGAACCAAGTGAGAGCCCACTTGGCAGCCCCCAGAGAGGGTGGGAAAGAGCAGAGAAATCTACCTGCATTGAAAGTCACTACAGCGGTAGGCCCTGTAGCGTAGTGGTTAAGTTCAGCGCTCTCTGCTTCAGCAGCCCGGGTTTGGTTCCTGGGTACAGACCTACACCACTCATCAGTGGCCATGCTGTGGTGGCGACCCACATACAAAATAGAGGAGGATTGGCACAAATGTTAGCTCAGGGCGAATCTTCCCCAGCAAAAAAAAAAGTTATGTTTTCTCACTTAATCCTTCTGTCATCCTTCAAGGTAGGTATATCTTATTTTTCATATTTTCCTCCATTTACTTTCAGTTTACATTCCTAGTAGATGCATTTTCCAAATTCATATAAACAAAAAAGAAGAGGCAAAAATTACTCATTTTCCTTTTACCCATAGAAAACCAGTGTTAGTTCTGACATCTATCCTCTGGACTTTTTCCCCTGATATGTTTGTAAATATTCTCTTTAAAAATTTGGATTATATTGTACATACTGGATATTTTTTTTCCGTCATCTTTTTCTCAAAACAAAAATGGGGTTGTATTGCAACTTCTACTTTTTTTCACTTAACACATGAGGAACATCCTTCCAGGTCTGTACAGATGGTTGTGGCAGATATTATTATCTGGATTGTTAAATGAGGGAACTGAGGATCAGAGATAGAAGTACCTTGTCCCAGGTCACACAGCTAGTGCCCAGAGTGTTGGACGCTGGAGCCCTGGTGTGGATGACACACAAGCCTCTTGTGATTTGGTGATTGGGGTGGGGAACCTGCAGGGTCTGTAGAAGTTCCTGCTGCAGATGAGCTTAGAGATCGGGTATGGCTCAGAGCAGAGAAGTTACATCCTCAAAGTTTCTCAGGAAAAGGTGGGTTCAGACCTCGCCTCTCAATATCTAGTTCAGGGATCATTCCATGAAGACACAGGCCTCTCCCAAGAGGCTGGAGCTGCCAGTTCCTGAGCTCTGGGAGTGTTTGCCCCAAGTCCTCTGAAAAGTGATCCTCATCTATAAATAAGCCAGGCTCATATGTCCCAGCACATTGTGTGGGGGGAATAAAGAAATGTCTCAAACAGCAACTTGATTATGCCCAAGGTATGTATTTTTACACATGCCCAGATATAGTACATGTACAAATATGCTATTCATAAACTCAGCCCGGTGGTTGGAAGGAGACCATATGCCTGGGTGTAAACTGTGCACATGTGCAGTTAATAAACACACTCTGCCAGGGTATATGTGCATATTTTTGGAACTGATGGTGAAGACTAGACCTTGAGGCAATTCTCTGGTACTTATACTAATTTCTAATGATAGGGGACAATTTTTCTTTCATGGGAACTAGTGATCAATGAGAGCAATGTTTCCCAAGTCCCAGGCGTTCACGAACCCCCTTCCTAATTTTGGCCATTCCTAAACCATTTATACAATCACTTACTTAGTACATTTCTTTAAATCAACTCTCTGTTTTATAACTTTAACACATACTAAAAAAGAACATTATCCCACTGCAGTAAAATGGAAAACCAGCAACACTTACCATAAATAGAAGGTAGCCATAAAAATGAATGCATAACCACTGGAATAAGAAATGTGTATCTGGATCCACTTGAAATCATTTTGTTATCACCATTCACTCACACTTTAAAAACATGGCAGTAATGGACTTAAATACTGTAGGCTCCCTAGTCCAGTCTTCTGCCCTACCCATCTCCGGGTGTCCATCATGTTATTGACCTCATGTGACCCTCGGCTAGTGTACCTTTCCCCTGGGTGGATCTCTGAAGGGCTTAGGGTGGGGGCCCCTTGGCCCTCAGGAAATTCAGAGCAGCTGTGTCATTTCTTCTGTGTTCTTCAATCCCTGGGTCCAAGTGGCCTTTTGGGAGAGGAGGCTGCAGGCTCAAGCTCAGGCTTAGAGAGAGAATGATCCCTTCCTTTTGGATAGAGGTTGCTTTTCATTCTATAATTCTATTTTGTTTTATTTGAAATTTGAATTAATTTTAAAATGATAAAATATACCAACTTAACAGGAAAAAAGTCACCTACCAACTGAACACAGATGGGTGTTACCATTTTGTGTATTCCTTCCCAGTTTTTAAATATGTGTACAGTTTATACCATTGTAAACGTGTTCAGAGTTTGCAATTCATAGTTAGTGTTTATGTCTGTTATCCAGTGTGAGCTCATAACACATTAAAAGGGTGAGAATTGTGAAGTAGGCAGGACAGGAATTATTTAGCCCATGTTTCAGGTGAGAAAACTGAGGCCCAGACATGGGATGTCACTTGCTAAAATCATGTATGTTGGAACCAGTTCTCTCCACTACGCCACAGCTGCTTCTATGTTAGAGCCTGGAGTTACAAAACAAAGTGTACAAGGACACATGCTTTTTTCAATTTAAAATTTTTAAAGTTTTAGGTGTCAGCCCGGTGGTGTAGTGGTTAAGTTCATGTGCTCTGCTTTGGTGGCCCGGGGTTCACAGGTTCAGATCCCAGGCATGGACCTACGCACCGCGTGTCAAGCCATGCTGTGGCAGGCGTCCCACATATAAAGTAGAGGAAGATGGGCACGGATGTTAGCCCAGGGCCAATCTTCCTCAGCAAAAAGAAGAGGATTGGCAACAGATGTTAGCTCAAGGCTAATCTTCCTCACCAAAAAAAAAAAAAAATTGAAGTTTTATATTTCTAAACTAATAAATATTCACTGCAAAAAAGTTGTTTTAAACACAACAAATAGAGTCCCAGTAATCCCACTCCCAGAGAAAACCTCCACGAATGACGTAGGCTTTACCACCCTTGACTTTTTCTGCGCATATCCTAACATATCATTTTATCTACTTTCCAAAAATAGAATTGCTTCATAAACACTGTTTTGTGACTTTTTTTCCCACTAACCAATATATCTTGGACATCCTTCCAAGGACAGAGCTTGTAAAAACACATTTTAACAAAACAGAAAAGATTTCAGATGAACACTAAAAGTGGTTCCATCTTGCTTCTGTTGGCTGCAGCAACAGCATCACATCCGGGGAAAGGTATCCCTTCGTTCGTTCGTTCGTTCGTTCCTTCCTTCCTTCCACATACATAATTAAGGAAATGTTACTTGTCAAAGGAGCTATTAGTTCTTGGAGCACAGTTCCCCTGGAAAGACCTGGAAGCTTTGGAGTTAGGAAGTGTGGGCAGCTCCTGGTGGAAACCCTGCAGGCATAGTCAGCTAGCTAGACCGAGAGGGGAGGTCCGGGCTTGGAGGAGCCCTGGATGGCGATGGGGGCCTTGTTTCCCAGATGGGTCGTGCTTGTCCTTTCCCATCAAATTTTCCATGGCAGTAGGCTGGGTCCTGGCCCAGGATTTTACCTCTGACCACCCTTTGCCTCCTCGTCCCTTCTCCCCCGCTGGCCCCAGCACTGATGTGGGAGCTGTTGGAGTGGAGGGTGGGGCGCTGGGGCGGAGGTGGGTTTGCCTGTGGAGTCGGGGAGGGGGTGCTGCAGGTTTATGTTTTTTCTGTAAGTCTTTGGGCCACACCAGGTTCCCAGGCCCGAATTCTCTCCCAACTCCCTTGAGCTAGTTCTCCTCTCCTGTGTTTAGATTTTCTCATACCCCATTTCCCATGAGTCAAAGGATCTTCATCAAGTGTACAGCTGCCCATTCCCTCTCTGACCTTGGCCCAGCCTACATCCAAGGGCCAGCACCATTTGCTCTGTTGAGAAACTAGAATTGTCAACCTGGAGCTGATCCTGCAGGGACCACAGTTGGAGGATTCAGGAGGACCCACTCACCCCCTGCTTGAGCCAGAGCCCACTCTGCTCCCCACCACCCCAGCCCCCAAGGACACTTCCCTGCGCCGGACTGCATTGTCTCTCAAGCAAGGTCTCTGGGCCTTTCTAGCCCAAGCTGCATCCCAACCCTCTAACCAAGGGGGCAGAGAACACCACCCTCATCCATCCTGCCCCGTCTTAGTAATGTACGTGTTGACGTCCCTTCCACTGGCATTCTCAGCCATCTAATGGCTGCTGAGACAGGCAAGTGGGAAGAACATGGATTTGACCAGAAGACCTGGGTTCAAGTATTAACTCTGCTCCAGCTGTGAGACCCTAGGAAAATACCCTTCTCCCTCCAAGCCTTGATCTCCTTTATCTCTTGGGCTTGTTTCAAGAGTCAGATGAGAAAGTGTGAATAAAAGGGATTTTATCAGGGGACAGAGGAAGTAATACAGGCAGGAGGTAAACAAATTCAAACTGTGTAGAAGGCTATCTAATAAAAAGCAAGCCTTCTCCCACTGTCAGGTCCCAGGACCCCAAGTCCTCTCCCCAGAGACAACCACCATTACCAGGGACATTCAGTACAAGCATTTAAGTGTACGTGCCCCTACACATGCTGTTCTGTACCGTACACATTTTGGAGATGGTCCTATATCAGCACACATGGAGCTGCCTCCTTTTTAACAGCTGCCTAGCATTCCATTGTATGAACGTAGCCAAACCAATTTAGCTAGTTCCCGCCCAACAGATGGGCTCTTGGATTGCTTCCAGCCTTTTACTGTTACAGTCAATGCTGGAGTGAACATTGCTAAGCATATGTTTTTGTGTACAAGCATGAGAATATCTGTGGGATAGAGTCTTCAATGCGGTGTTGCTGCGTCAAAAGACACAGGCAGGTTTGATTTTAAGACGTCACCAGCTTGCCCTTGAAAGGTGTATCAGTTGGCATGGCCACTGACAAGACAGGAGCGCCTTCCCCCCATTCCCTCATCCACACAGGGTGTTATTATATCTTTTGATCTTTGCCAATCTGAAGGTGAACATGCTATCTTATAGTTTTAATTTGCATTTTTAAATTATGAGTGAGGCTTGAGAGTGAGATGCTGTAGGTATTTCGGGCTGGAGCAGGAAGTGGGCCCAGGACAGTTCGGGCATGCCATGCTCCCTATGGTGCTCCTGCCCATCTCACAGGTGCCCTTTTCCCCTTCCCAAGGCTCATCACTCTTCCCAACGGGGTCCTCCAGATCCTGGACGTTCAGGAGAGTGACGCAGGCTCCTACCGCTGCGTGGCCACCAATTCAGCCTGCCAGCGCTTCAGCCAGGAGGCCCTACTCAGCGTGGCCAGCAGAGGTAAGGGAGCTGGCTGGGCATGGAAACCTGGGGGAGCTGGGAGGGGCCTCAAGAGGTCCACGCCCTGCCTTCAAATAGATGACGAGGTATTAGTCCCATCAGACAAGTGAGGCGATGAAGCCCAGGGAAGGCAGTGCCACCCAGCAAGTCAGAGAAGGGCCTGGGGCTGGAAGCCAAGACTCCCTCCCAGTCAGGGCTCCCTTCCTGTGGAGGCTGTATTCCCTTGGGTTGGATGGAGCATCCAGGGCTGGGGACAGGGGTGGGGAGGGAAGGATCTGAGGAGGGTGTCAGTGCCCTGAAGCCCTGGTCCGTGCTCCCCTTGTGTGCCCCGAGGGCTCTGGGCACTGGAGGATTCGCCCTTCGCTGCTTGCTGTGTGCTGTGAATCTGGCTCCCTGCAGTCTGGTGCTTCTGTCCTCTCCATTTCTCTGAAAAGCTCCTGCCCCAGTGTGATGCAGTAGGAAGGGCACAGGATTTTGGGTCGGAAAGACCTGGTTTGAATCCTGGCTTTTCTACTCACCATCTGTGTGACCCTGGACTTGTTATCAAGTGTCCAGCTCAGGGAGGTTGTGTGAATAGCTGAGATGAGTGGAAAGTGGCTGGCACCTAGCAGGTACCCAACAGATCTTACTTTAGGCCTCCTCCATGCGCCTCTCGCTTGCCTCCCTGTGCAATGGCATCTCCCCCCACCCCACCTCTGCTCCTCCTGACATCTCCTGCCATCCCCCTCCTCCTCTCCCCCACCTCCACTCCCACCCTCCCTCTTCTGGGGCTTAGCTCCTGAGCTGCTCTCCCTCCTGTGCCCAGGGTCTCTGCCTCCACCTGCTGGACAAATCAGGTATTCACCATGCTGACCCAGGGGGCCACGGTCACACTGAGAACTTGGCAGGGAATCCGTGCTCAGGGAGCTGCCAAGCTGGCAGAAACTCGAGCCCACCCCCTGCTTTCCCACATAGGAACCTGAGGCCCTTTGGGGAAGGGACTTGCTTAAGGTCACACAGCACATTAGTGGCAGTGCCGGAACTAGAATCTATGACTGTTGACTCCAAGTCCATACTACAAGTCTACCCATGACTCTGATGGTCCTCTGCCTGGAGGGTGGGTTCGATTTGACAGGGAAGACGGGGGCTGGTGTGTCAGAGGCCAGGTTATTCCTCGCCTGGCTCCAAGAGAAAGAGCTGTGAGTTCCAGTCAGCTCTGCTGAACTATGTGGCTGCTTACCCCATGTATCAGATGGAACCCTGGCTGCTCTCTGCCCCACCTGCCTCACCAGGTGACTGTGAGCACCAGGTGGGGTACCGCATGTGAAGACGCCTAGTGATAAGGCTGCCTGCTGGCCTGCTCTCTCTCCAGGGTCCCTGGCATCCACCAGGGGGCAGGACGTGGTCATTGTGGCAGCCCCCGAGAACACCACAGTGGTGTCTGGCCAGAGTGTGGTGATGGAATGTGTGGCCTCGGCTGACCCCACCCCTTTCGTGTCCTGGGTCAGACAGGGTGAGTGGAGGGAGGGGACCGGAGGGCATGGGAAAGGAGGGGTGTGGCATCTCACGTGTCCCCAAGTCGGGGAGCTATAAGGGAGACCAGTCCATGGTCACCGACCTTTGGTGTGGCGGGAACTCCTCTCCCAGGGCTGAGTGTGGGTGGGGAACCTGGACAAACTTAATCATCAATCTGAGTAGCCCATTTCCTTTATGAGGCACTTTGAGTCTGCCACTCACAAAATAGCACTGAGACCTTCTTAGGGTGCCCACTGGGTTAGGTTCTCTGCTCTACTTGCTTCCATTCATCACAACTGTGTTGCAAGTGAGTGTGTGAGAGCTGGAAAGGTGCCACACAGCCAGCAAGTCTGGTGGAACCAGGGCCCCACTGTGGTCTGTTTAACTACAAAGCCACCTCTTGGTCCACCCAGTGCGCCACTGCTTCACTTCAGTGCGCCTGGCTTCATGCTGGGCACAGTGAATAAAATACCCAGATGAGAGACAGGGACCCTGCCCTCGGAATTCATAGTCTAGTGAGGAAGACAAAACACACGCCCATGAAGAGAGGTTTGACGGTATCAGGCAGCAAGTGATAAATGCCAAGTGGGACTGCGTTAGAGGAGATGCTATCAGGGTAACGAGAGCGCTGGGCCAAACGTCAGCTTGCAGTCTCCTGAGCACTCACAGCCATTCTCCTCCTGGAGCCTCCAAGAGCCCTTTGAGGAGGGTAGGGGCCAGGACTATTATTCCCAGTGGGCAGATGAGGAAACTGAGGCTCAGAGAGGCAGGTGGAAAGCCAAGACGCAAACTTTAGAGCCTATTCTCTTTCTGGTACATCACTCCCTACAGTCCTCTATGGAAGAAAAGTAAGGATTCTTTTTGTTTCCATTTGTTGATAAGAAGTGACTTGTCCCAAGTTGATGGCAGAAGTAAGTCTTAAACTCAGCTCTCTTTACTCTGGCTCAGTTTGTTACCCTATACTGCCTCCTTTTTGTAAGTTTGTATCTCACATTCAAGAGTATATAATGAATACCTCCAGTTTAAAGAAAAATAATAAACCACACAACTATGCATCCCCTGCTGAGCTGATGAGATAGAACAGTGCTGGTATCTTTGCGCCTCCCTGACCTGCACAACCTCATCGGACTTGTGACTGTTGCCCAGTTAGGGGGATCTCAGGGCCAGCAGGACCCTCATATTATTATTGAGGTAAGCCTGTGGTGTCACCTAGAAGTTCTATTACCAGTGTTTCTCAAATCCTGACCACATATCAGGATGACCCAGGGAGCTTGTTAAAATTGCAGACTCCCTCCCTTCACACGTGGAGAGTTATGACCCAGGAATGTTAATGCTTAACAAGTGCCCTAGGTCCTCGCTACTGAAAGTGTGGTCTTTGTACCTATCTCCTGGGCCTAGTTAGAAATGCAGAATCCTGGGCCTGCCCTAGGCCTCTGAATCTTAACAAGGTCTTCTGCGATTCTGTGATTCATGTGCACAGTAAGGATGTGAGAACTGCTTTCCCAGAGGACCCCAACACCTGTGGTTCTAGGAACTCACTTAGAGAAACTGTGCTAATAGCACTTCTGGGCAGAGACTGGGAAGAGAAAGGATGGGAAAAGACTTCATTCCTGACCCTGGGCACTGTTCCCTTTCCAGGAACTTACTCCGTTGAGTCAGGGAAGGGGCATGGCTTTCTTGCTTTGTTTTGTTTTCTGATTGCAAAAGTTGCACGTGTTCATTGTTGAAAACTAGGGAAAAGCAGAAACAGAAAACATCCCACCACTTGGAGATTAAAATTGTTAACATATGAGTGTATTTTCTTCCAGATTTTTTTCTGTGTACATTTTTCCCCGAAATTGAGAGCATGCTGTATTCACAGTTCCAAGTTCTATTTTCATTCAATAGTGTATCATAAACATTTCCGCATCTTTAAAACTTTTTCAAAAAATGATTTTAAAGACTATATGATATTCCATCATTTGAATGTAATCTGCCAGTTCAGTTCCTACTGTGGAATTTTCAAGTCCATCCCAGTTGTCCACTATTACAGTTAGCGTTCCAGCGATTGGCCCTGTTCACATCTTCCTGGGCCAGGTGCCCACAAGTGGAATCCTGGCTTCAGCGTCAAGGTGGAGCTCCTGTATAGCCCTATCAGCATCTACCCTTTCTCCAGCATTGCAACTTACTGTTTTTAAAAACTTTCCCAGTTTGATAGGTGAAAATTAGCACCTGTGTTTTGATATGCATTTCTTTGATTATGGGAAATTGAACAGTTTTTTGTGTTTCTTGGCCATTTGCATTTCTTCTCTGGATTTTCGGTTCATGTCCATAAGGCAAGGGCTTTTAATATGGTTTTCATTTCACATCAAGATAAAAGTCTCTGCACATATTCAAGTCTTTGGTTCTGGTCAGACCTTTCCAGCTATATCTTCATCATAGTACTGGGCTAAGACCATAGGGGAGGAGTGTGTCCATCTTGAGAGAAATGAATTTAATAATAATGGTAATAGTAATAACTGACTATTGTACTGAGCACCTATATGTGCCTGCATTGTGCCAGGCGTTCTCACAAACCTATTTACTCCTCCCTCACAGCAGGCCTTCCAGCTAGGGACTATCTCCCCATTTTACAGACGGGGACACTAGGGCTCAGAGAGAATCACCGGTCTAGAAAGGGGAGGAACTGAGATTCGAACCAGGGTCTCTTGTGTTCTCTTAACCCGTATGTAGAGGGGCCCTTTGGTCTGGAGAGTGGAAGGAGAGGCGTCCTCAGCGCCCCCTTCCAGCGCTCTCCCTCTTCTCCTCCAGATGGGAAGCCCATCTCCACGGATGTCATCGTCCTGGGCCGCACCAACCTCCTGATCGCCAGCGCGCAGCCCCGGCACTCTGGCGTCTACGTCTGCCGCGCCAACAAGCCCCGCACGCGCGACTTCGCCACCGCCGCCGCCGAGCTCCGCGTGCTGGGTGAGGCGGGGCGACGGGCGAGGCGGGGTGAAGGGAGAGGAGGGCAGAGGACCCCGGGGTAGGTGCAGGGGAGACTGGATTGGGGCGGGTTAGTTGGGAAGAATAGGCGGAGAAGTGGGCAAATGAGTGTGTTAGAGGGACTGAGGGGGCGACCCTGGAGGATGAAAAAGGGATAGGGCTGGGGGGTCGAGCTCATGGGGAAGAGTCCTACATTGGGGTGAGGGCACTGGAGGGGACAGAACAGGTAACTGGAGGAGGGGAAGTGGTGGAAAGAGATTGGAGGACGGGATGGGGAGAGTTGAGTCAGGAAGAGGAGAGGGGTGACTAGGGCTTGGCTTGGGTGATTGGGGTGGGGAGGGGTGACACTGAGGTTATTGGGAGAGACAGTGGAGTGGTCTGGGTGGTTCTGAGAAAACTGGGGGACGAGGTTGCTCGGGGCTGCGATTACTGTGGAGAGGGGTCAATCTGATAGGTGTGGGAGACGCTGGAGGGTAGGAGAGGAGGAGGTCAGTGAGGGACTGGGTTAGATCCAGGAGGAGCTAGGGTATTTAGGGGAGGCCAAGAAGGCCTGGGGACCATTCTGGGAGAGAAGAGAACGGTCAGCATGGTGCTGGGGTGACTGAGCGAGAAGAGGCGGAGCTCCGCTGCACTGTTTTGGGGGAGTGAGTCAGGGAGAGGTTAGAGTGAGCGGAGGGGATGCGGAGTCAGTCGGGGTATTTGGGGGAGGGGGCAGGGCCCCCAGTGGCGGGAGCGCGCGGTCAGCGTCCCCCTCCCCGCCCCCAGCGGCCCCTGCCATCTCGCAGGCGCCCGAGGCGCTGTCGCGGACGCGGGCCAGCACGGCGCGCTTCGTGTGCCGCGCGTCCGGGGAGCCGCGGCCCGCGCTGCGCTGGCTGCACGACGGGGCGCCGCTGCGGCCCAACGGGCGCGTCAAGGTGCAGGGCGGCGGCGGCAGCCTGGTCATCACGCAGATCGGCCTGCAGGACGCCGGCTACTACCAGTGCGTGGCTGAGAACGGCGCGGGCACGGCGTGCGCCGCCGCGCCGCTGGCCGTAGTAGTGCGCGAGGGGCTGCCCAGCGCCCCCACCCGGGTCACGGCCACGCCGCTGAGCAGCTCCGCCGTGCTGGTGTCCTGGGAGCGGCCCGAGCTGCACAGCGAGCAGATCATCGGCTTCTCCCTCCACTACCAGAAGGCACGGGGTACGTCTGCTGGGGGCTCGAGATGCCCCAGCAAAGGCCCACGCGGGGGCGCCGTGAGGGGGGTACACGTTGCATGACTGAAGAGTTGCCAGGTAGGTACCTTTGGAGTTAGGATGGGATGAGGTGTAGTCCCCAGGAGAGTCCCGCGTAGATATGGGTTGAGACTGGTGAGGGGTCAATGTGTGTGACACATTTTCCTCTCAGCCATAGTTCGTTATGAGAGAGGAGAGAGGGTGCTTCTGCTCCCAGGGAAAATGCCTTAGCATTTGTGGAGCCAGCTCATAACTGCAGCAGGAGTCACTTCTCTTAGATGCTAGAAAGAACTTCCTAACCAGCGGAGGAATTAATACAGTGGGGCTAGAAACCAGGAGAATGTATACTCTCCAACTCAGATTATCTGGGATGATTTAGCTATAATTAAACTATTCCAGAGACTGGGACAACATGAAGGCTCTCTAGACAAGCTCTAGCTGGTGGGCCCCTGGGGGGGGGTGGCCCTATGACAGTCTCTTTGTCTCCTGTGTCACTGCCCCAGGCATGGACAATGTGGAATACCAGTTTGCAGTGAACAACGACACCACAGAGCTACAGGTTCGGGACCTGGAACCCAACACGGATTATGAGTTCTACGTGGTGGCCTACTCCCAGCTGGGGGCCAGCCGCACCTCCACCCCAGCGCTGGTCCACACACTGGATGATGGTAGGGCCTCTGAACCTGCAGTGGGCACCTTGGGGCCCAGAGAATTCCCTGGGGGTGGTAGCACACCTCTCTTTACTAGCATAAGCCAAGGCATTTTTACCTTCCTCATGTCATCTTTTGTGCCCAATAAGGGAGTGGACAAGGGTTCTTCTCTCCAATTTACAGTCGGGAAAACTGAGGCCCAGAAAATGAGAGTGACTTGCCCAAGGTCAGCAGTACAGCTGGGACTTGAGCCCAGGTCTTGTGATTCCCTATATCTTATGGCCCTTCTCCCTGACACCTACGTACCATACAGTCAGGCAGGGGCCAGTGACATTAACCCATTGGATGTGGAAGATTGTGCCCCAAACCTTTTTCAGGGTAGGAAGGATGTCCCCTCATCATCTCCAGCTTGGGGCTCCCCTGAGAGGCTCCCTTTCCTCCCTCAGATCCTGGTCCTGGGCCTACTTCTGATTTGCTGTGTGACCTGGGCAAGTCTCTGACCGCTCCTGGGCCTCACCTTCCACGTCGGTGGAGCAGAGCTCACGCTGATGTTCTTCTGTCTCAGTCCCCAGCGCAGCACCCCAGCTCTCCCTGTCCAGCCCCAACCCCTCGGACATCAGGGTGGCGTGGCTGCCCCTGCCTCCCAGCCTGAGCAATGGGCAGGTGGTGAAGTACAAGATAGAGTACGGTTTGGGAAAGGAAGGTGAGTAGGGGCTGGGTCGGGCTCCACCTGGCAGGGAACTCTCCACATGATGGTTGTCAGAGCACCTGGGGACCTGAGCAGACTGGGGGGAGTTGGAGGAAATTAGGCAGCCCAGTGGAGCAGGGAAAGGTGAACCTGGAGAAGGGGAGTGTGGGCCAGGGGTAGGGATGGCAGGGATGAAAAGGCAAGGCAGAGGGCTAGCTCAAGATGGGGGGAGGCCTGGGCGATAGCCATACCTCCTCTACAGCAGCAGCATGTGATCCTGTAGGGTCCCTGCCTCCGTGTCCTTATCTATGAAATGAGGCATCGAGCCTAGATTAATCCCTGGGATCCTTTCCAGCTCAAAAAGCAGATGATGGATAGGGAGGTGGAGGGTGTGCTCATGGGACTGGGGGAAATGGCGCATGGGGAAAGGTACCTTAGGGTAGATGTTAGTAATCTAGGGGAGGGTGTCTAAGAGGGAAAAAGAGTTAGGAGAAGGCAAGTGGCTAGGGGGCCAGGGTGACGGTGAGAAGGGAGGGGAGGGTGAGGAAGTGCTCTGGAAGGCGGGCAGTACCTGGTACCTTCACCGCCAGCTCCTTGTGCCTGCACTGTGGTGTGTGTGGGGGGGTCATTGACAGCTCATGGGGAAGTGGGGAGAGCATGCCATGATTCTCCCCACTCTGAAACAAAGCTGATGGCCTGTGTCAGCCAGGGTTGGAGGCCCAGGAGTCAGCCCGGGGGTCATGGAGTCTGTCCAGACACTGAGGGGTCAGTGCTGAGACGGCTTCAGGCTCCAATGGGCCCTGAGGAACTGGAATCTGAGGTGGAAGAGTTGGCGTAGGGGAGTTTGAGCGTCATGGTCCTCAGGTGGCCGCCCAGCAGCTGGTCTTTTCTGTCCCAGCAGACCAGATTTTCTCCACTGAGGTGCCAGGGAATGAGACACAGCTTACGCTGCACTCGCTTCAGCCCAATAAGGTGTATCGAGTACGGATTTTGGCTGGCACCGGGGCCGGCTATGGGGCCCCCTCCCAGTGGATGCAGCACAGGACGCCCAGTATGCACAACCAGAGCCACGGTACGGGGTTGGAGGGGACAGGACAGGGCGGTGTAGGTGACTGTGGGTGTATGTGTGTGCTTGGAAACAAGACCCAACCACCCCCTCCATCAGAGACCTTCCATGGCTCCCCCTGCTTGATGGGCGAGGGAGGAGGAGGGTAGAGGGGAAGGGCTGGACTTTGCAGACGCACCTGGACTCACCCTTCTGTCTGCCCTGTGACCTTGGACAAACCATTCACAACTCTAAGGCTTCATTTACTGCCAGGCGTGGCGTGAGGATTAATAATGTATTGTAAACAAGGTGTTTAGTACATAATAAGAACTTGTTAAATAGTAGCTGCTTCCATGATTGTGACTGTTGTTGGTATTGTTGAGAGGCCTGATGGTAGGGTGATTAAATGCAGACAAAACCTGGTGCACATACTGTCTGCGTGACTTCGGGCAAGTTAGTTAACTTCTTTGAGCCTCAGTTTTCTTATCTGTAAAATAGGGATAATAGTGTTTTCATTATTTTATAGGGTTATGAGAATCAAGTTAAAATACGTGTACAAGGTGCTTAGAACAGCATCTGACACAGAGTAAGCCCCCCTACTCTTAAGCTCCAAGTAGAGCTCCTCACTCCAATGGCTCCATCCCTCATTGCCAGCCTCAGCAACCCCTGTGACCCCCTTGCCTGCCAGTGTCCATGCATTCATTCCTTCAGGAGAATCATAGAGCCCTACTCTGTGCCAGGTACTGTCAGCCCTGCCCCACAGTGCTCCTTGCTAACCTCTTTGCAAATGCGCAGGAGACATCCCTGTGTTCTCAGCACTCTGGGCTTATAGACCAGTGAGTTCACCTCCGGGCCCCATCCGGGCCTGGCACTTAGGGTGGTGGCTGAGTGTTGATGCAGTGGGAGAAGGCTGGCAAGGCTCTCACTCAGTGCCATTTTCCTGCTTTTTGCTTCCTCTTGCCTCTTCCTCCTCTCCCATCCCTGGCCTTCTCCTCCACATCCCCATTCTCTTCCTCCTCTCCCATCCCTCTCCTCTGCCCCTAGTCCCTTTTGCCCCTGCAGAGTTGAAGGTACGGGCAAGGATGGAGTCCCTGGTCGTGTCGTGGCAGCCACCCCCTCACCCCGCCCAGATCTCTGGCTATAAACTGTACTGGCGGGAGGTGGGGGCTGAGGAGGAGGCCGATGGTGAGAGCCCCCCAGGGGGCCGTGGAGACCAGGCTTGGGATGTGGGGCCTGTCCGGCTCAAGAAGAAAGTGAAGCAGTATGAGCTGACCCAGCTAGGTGAGGTGGGCTAGGGGGAGGGAGTGAGATGGACATAGCTTCATTGGGGGAGTGGACAAGTTGGATGCGGGAGTTGGGAGATGGAATTCTCTCTGAGGATGAGAGAGTGACCCCAGAGGTCCCTCTAGCCAGTGAGTGACACCCCCTGACCTTCCTAGTCCCTGGCCGGCTGTATGAGGTGAAGCTTGTGGCATTCAACAAACATGAGGACGGCTATGCAGCAGTGTGGAAGGGCAAAACGGAGAAGGCTCCCACACCAGGTGAGGGGGCTCAGGTGAGGGGTCTGTGTGTGGCTTCCTTTCCCTTTCCTCTGGGCCAGCCCTGATGGTCAGGCCATCTGGTAGCCTCAGCCATCCCCAAACCCGTTCTCCTAGGCTCAGGGGTCCTCTTCTAGCTCCAGACAGCCTCTGTCGTAGAAAGAGGCTCCAGTGTGTGCACTGTCTTTAGGCCTGCTACTGTATTTTCATCATGCATGGGCAGTGCTAATTTTGAAGGATTGGACAAAGAGAAACCTCATGGTTGATCAGTGACTCCTGACCCCACGTTTGACCTTTAAACGACTTTTAAAACACATCCACTTATATCACACTGTCCATCTGATTATCCCTCCACTCTAGGCAGGGGGAGTATCCCTATGTGGCCCATGAGGAAACTGAGGCTCAGAGAAGTAAAGGGACTCATCCAAGGTCTCACGGAGCCTAGACTAGAACCAAGACTCCTAGCTCCCAGCAGAAGTCTTTCCCCTGCAGTGCATTGCCTCCTGGCCCTGTGCTAGATGCCTCAGTTGCCCATCATGACACTCCCTCACCCCTAACTTCCCAGGCTGATTTTCAGTCATGTGGTTTAGTGGAAGGAGCACTCAACCGGGAGCCAGGAAACCTGGGTTCTAATTCCAGTTTGTTCCTTCAGCAAATCTTTTACTGAATGTCTACTATGTGCCAGCTCTGTTCTGGGAATTTAGTGATGAACGACTCAAATAAGGTACCTGCTCTCATGGACTTTATTTTATTTTATGTTTATGTAATAAACACTTATCATCCTATAGTACTTACTATGTATGTCTTGGTTCAGGCTGCTATAACAAAAATACCATAGACTGGGTGGCTTACACAACCAACATTCATTTCTCACAGTTCTGGAGGCTGGAAAGTCCAAGATCAAGGTGCCAGCAGAGTTAGTCTCTGGTGAGGGCCCCCTTCCTGGTTCATAGACCATAGGCCATCTTCTCGCTGGGTCCTCACATGGCAGAAGGGGGGCTGGAGAGCTCTCTGGGGTCTCTTCTTTAAGGGCAATGTTATGGACTGAAAGTTTGTGTCCCCCCCAGATTCATATGTTGAAATCCTTCCTTCCAATGTGATGTATTAGGAGAGAATTAGGATTAGATGAGGTCCTGAGGGTGGAGCCCTCATTAATGGGATTACTGCCCTTATAGGAGTCACGAGAGAGCTGGCTTTCTCTCTGTTCTCCTCCATGTGACTGTTTAGTGCGAAGTGGGCAGTCTGTAACTCGGAAGAGGGCTCTTGCTAGAACTTGACCGTACTGGTACCCTGATCTCAGACTCCAGACTCCAGAACTGTGAGAAATAAATGTTTGTTTATAAGCCACCGTGTATATGGTACTTTGTCATAGCAGCCGAAATGGATGAAACCAGGCACTAATCCCATTCATGAGGGCTCCACTATATGTTCAGATTTCAACACATGAACTTTGGGGTGACACAGACATTCAGTTCATAACAATATGCCAGACACTTTTCTATATAGTTTACAAATGTTAACTAACTTAATCCTCATAACAACCCTATGAGACAAGGACTATTATCAGCCCCACTGACAGAATGGGGAATGGAGGCTTAGAGAGGTTAAGTAAATTCTCCATTTACTTACAATTCTTGCAGCTAGTAAGTAGCAGAGCTGGAATTTGAACCAAGGCAGCATGGCTCCGGAATCTGTGCTCTTAATTGCCCTGATTTCTGCCTCTCTTTATTACATTCTTACATGCTAGTGTCCCACAGTCTGCTATATGTATGACCTTGGCAAAAATCACTTAAATTCTTTGGAGCCTCAGTTTCCTCATCTGTGAAGTGAGAATGATGCTACTCAACTCACAGGATCAAAAGAGAGAGGGTAGGGGGCCGGCCTGGTGGCATAGTGAAGTTTGTGCACTCCGCTTTGGCAGCCTGTGGTTCTCAGGTTTGGACCCCGGGCATGAACCGAAGCACGGCTCATCAAGCCATGCTATGGCGGCATCCCATATACAAAATGAGGAAGATAGGCACAGATGTTAGCTCACGGCTAATCTTCCTCAGCAAAAAGAGGAAGATTGACAGAGGTTAGCTCAGGGCCAATCTTCCTTACAAAAAAAAAAGAAAAAGAGAGAGAGAGAGGGTAAAAGAAAGTGCCCTGGGAACTGTAAACCTATACATATTTAGGGATGAGCGTCCTCCCTCCCTTCCCACACTCTAATTTTCACCTTCCAGATCTGCCCATCCAGAGGGGGCCACCGTTGCCCCCCGCCCATGTCCACGCAGAGTCAAACAGCTCCACATCCATTTGGCTTCGGTGGAAAAAGCCAGACTTCACCACAGTCAAGATTGTCAACTACACTGTGCGCTTTAGTCCCTGGGGGCTCAGGAACGCCTCCCTGGTCACCTATTACACCAGGTGGGGAAGAGGGGCTAACGCTGTGAGGGGGAGGAAGAGCGGAAGGAGGGGGAAGAAGGCAGCAGATGGTGATGAGGAGAGGGACCCTAGGGGTTCAGGAACATTTCATGGCTCACCTGTTCCACTGGGGTTCTGATGACCTGTTGTGACAGAGGGAGAAGGAGAGTCCATCTGATCCTATCCCCTTACAACAGAGCCTTGTACTCAACTCTTAGGAACGTGATGCAGGACAGACTGACCTACTTGTTCAATCTCAGAGGGCTCCCAATATGATGGGACAGCAGCCTAGCTGCTGTCCTGAGAGGGCCCCCAGTTGGATGGGGAGACAAGAAGTCAAGGAAAAGGTGTATCAGAGACGGTTCCTTGGGTGGAGAATGACTTGGATTAATCCAGGAAGGTTTCGTGGAGGAGGGGGACTGGCTTGGAGATTAAACATGATACTTTGGGAGCAATGTACATCCACACCCCTCTGTAGGTCCTCTGGGTGGTGTTAGCGGCCCCCATGCAGGGAGCAGATTCCCTTCCCAGGGTAGAGCCTGGGGCTGTGGCTGGGGGTAGGGGAGTAGATGTGGAGGGGCCTGCCGTGCTAGAAGGGTGTGTTTGAGGGCACTAGTCACATTTCTTGCCTTGGCAGCTCTGGAGAAGACATCCTCATTGGCGGGCTGAAGCCGTTCACCAAATACGAGTTTGCCGTACAGTCCCACGGCGTGGACATGGATGGGCCTTTCGGCTCCGTGGTGGAGCGCTCCACCCTGCCTGACCGTGAGTGGCCCCTCGGCCCTCTGGCCACCAATCTGTCTTTTACCCAACTCATTCTTGCCCCAGCAGCACTCTTTTCTAAAATGTCCCTCAGAACCCCATAAGCGTCTGTCATTCGCTTTGCATTTACATAGGCCAGTCCTGTGCTGGTCATTTACTCATAAACATAATAACATAAGATTTAGAGGAGTGGCTTCTTTTAAGAGGCTGTGCCAAGACCTCACTGAGCTGGTGAGGAGGGGCCAGGTCAAGGAAGCAGGCATCCTGGATTCTGCATTCGGGTCCCCATCCTGCCGCTGGCCCACGGGGCGTCTCTGTCCTCATCTGTAAACTCTGCAAATCTGTGACTCTGGAACCCTCTAGAAATGGCATTCTAAGACAAATGAACTTTTATTCTTACAGCAGAGACTCCTCAGTTCTCCTGGCCCTAAGACTGTTCACCTTCCCATGGACAGAAGACCGTTGTCCCAGGATCTGAAATAGGAAGACGTGTGTGGGTGGGGTGTGGGGGCCCTCCACTCTCACGAATTTGCTTTTTAAAAAACGGCTTACAAATTGTTTGTCACCCACCCGTGACCTCAGTTATTATGGTCTTAAACTGCATATGGAGTTCAGGGGGACCTGAAGTTTTCTCAAGAGAGACTTTATGACTTTGGATCCCCAGTGAAACTGACCACGCTGCAGAGGGGGGATGTTTCCTCCATTTGCAGGTGGAGAAACTGGAGCCTGAGAAGTGGAGAGTCATCTAGGGTCAGAGAGCGTTCTGCCAGCCCGTGATGCTGTGCCTCTGTTCCACCTTAGAGCCCTGGTCCCCATCCCACCCTCTGTCAGGCCTTGAAGACCTGAGCCCCCAAATCTCTGTCCCTTCTCAACTCCCCAGCCACCTTGTGTCCCTACTTCTCACCCTTCCTCATTCGCCCCCGTCCCCCAGGCTCAGCTGCTTCTCTAAAAACAAAGCAAAGTCTTCTAAGGTGGTACTTCTCACACTGGGGTTCCCGTGACCTGTAGGCCCTGTGCCAGGGGCAGACACGGACAAAGGCTGCTCAGGGCATCAGCCAAGTTGACTTGAAGATTTGGGGTGGAAGGAGAGTTAGGAAGCTTAAATGATAAATAATTTTAAACACTATTTTTATATTAAACTTTACCCTGGACTAGATGGCAAACATAGTAGGAGAGTTTAAAATGAAATGTAAGCCTTCCAAAAAATTTTGAGCTATGCCCCCAGGTCCCTAGAACACCAGAAAATCTTCTCAACCCTTGGAAGTATTTGGGTGTGGAAGTAAGAAGCTCTGCTCCGAGGAGTGGAGAAGAGTTTCTGGAAGGGGAGGAATGGGGGTGAAGCCCCCCTTCCCAACTGTTTTCCAGAAATTCCCCAGTTAGAGACCAGACCTCATTTTGCTTTGTGGTTTGTGGTTTGTTCCAGTGAAGGAGGAAGAAGGGAGGCCATGTCCTCATCCCAACCGCCCCCAGAGCCGGGGCTCTCAGTGACCTTGCCTCTCTCCATCTCCTCCCCCATACCCCAGGGCCCTCGACACCCCCATCCGACCTGCGCCTGAGCCCCCTGACACCGTCCACTGTTCGGCTGCACTGGTGCCCCCCCACGGAGCCCAATGGCGAGATCGTGGAGTATCTGATCCTGTACAGCAACAACCACACCCAGCCCGAGCACCAGTGGACTCTGCTTACCACAGAGGGTGAGAGCTCCCACCCCAGGGCATCTGAGCAAGAGCTTCCCCACCCGCTCCCCACTTCCCACCCTCTCCAGTCGCTGGGTTAGTAGTGAGAGTGCTGCTGAGATTTATTCTAGGGGTTTCTAGGAGGAGCAGGCAGAAGCTGCTGCCTGAGTGGGAGGAGCAAGCTTTCTCAGTCCTGCCTCCCAGCCTATCCTGGCGTCACCCCCCAGCCAGTCCACCAACCCTGCTCTCCCTTCTCCCCTTGCCCCAGGGAACATCTTCAGTGCTGAGGTGCATGGGCTCGAGAGCGACACTAGGTACTTCTTCAAGATGGGGGCGCGCACAGAGGTTGGGCCAGGGCCCTTCTCTGGCCTGCAGGATGTGATCACCCTCCAGGAGAAGCTCTCAGGTAAGAGGGCAGGAAGGGAGGAGTGGGGGCCATGCTGGGGCAGCCCAAGGCCTCCAGAGTCCCCTGGGGTTGACTTCTAACCTTAAAGTCATCTCTTCCAAGGCCCTGCCTCTGGGCATGACTACACCTTCATTGTTTTGGATGGCTGCCCTCCTGGTTTGGTGTGGAGAGGTCAAATTTGAAGGGGAAATGGGTGTGGTTCAGTGGTGGTTCGGTTAAGAAGTCAGGTTTATCAGAGACTGGCTTGGTGTCTTTGGGAGATTTCTTTGATTGGGGGATTGGCTTGGAGAGGCAATGAGCTTTATGGAGTGGAGGTGTACAGCAGACTGACTACGCAATTTGCAGGGCCTAGTGTGAAGTGAAAATGTGGGACCCTTTATTAAAAAATTAGGAAGAATTTCAAGATGGTGGTAGCAGAGCATTAAACCAAGCACGGAGCCATTCTAAACGTGGGCCCTGTGTGACTGCACTTGTTGCACACCCATGAAACCACGGACAAAGGCTGGGCAGGCAAGAGGTGTGTTTCACTGACAGGCCAGGTTGAGGGGGAGGGACCACAACTTCCAGATGTCTGGTGGGGAGGACAGTTGGAGAGAGAGGTAGTGGTGGTCCCTGTGAGGCTGTGGGACCCTCCTCTCCTTGCATCAGAAGATTTCAAGTGTCCAAAGGATGAGACTCAGGCTAGTGGTCTCCTGAGGAAGCCACAAGAAGTCCTGATCTGTGAACCCTGAGCCTTCTCCTGTCCCTGACCTGTTCTGTCCCCTCTCTCTCCCTCCCTCACCAGACTCCTTGGACGTGCACTCAGTCACGGGCATCATCGTGGGCGTCTGCCTGGGCCTTCTCTGCCTCCTGGCTTGCATGTGTGCTGGCCTGCGCCGTGGCCCCCACAGGTGGGCAAAGGAGCCAGTCTGACCGCGGAGGAGAGATTTCCAGGAGGGCTGCAGAGATGAGAGAGCAAGGAGAGTGGCCATGACTTGCTGTAGGCACCCCCAAGAAGCCCCATTAAAGTTAGGACTCTGGGATGAAGGGATTAGGGGTGGGTTTAGGGAGCCCTCAACCTACCCTCTCAAGGAGGGCAGGCAGAGGCAGAGCTGCCTTTCTGCCCCTTCCTATGTAGCTACCAGCATCTTGGAATGAAGGACCCCAAATCTCCAGATGTCTGGAGCCAAGGGAGGAAGGGTCCCATTTGCAGTCACAGTTGTTTTGAACGGAGTTTCTTACTCATTGCACAGACCAGGAAACCAAGTCCCAGGGATGGGCAGGAACCTGCCCAGGGACATAGGCTGGCCTAGATCCCAGTCCTGCCCCCACCCCTCACTCTTTGACCACTGTGCCTGTTCTCCATCTTCCCTTCCAGGGAGGCCCTCCCAGGCCTGTCCTCCACGGCCACCGCTGGGAACCCTGCGTTGTACTCCCGAGCCCGCCTTGGCCCCCCTAGTCCCCCAGCTACCCATGAACTGGAGTCCCTTGTGCACCCTCATCCCCAAGACTGGTCCCCCCTGCCCTCAGACATTGAAGACAGAGCTGAAGTGCACAGCCTTATGGGTGGTGGCGTTTCGGACTGCCGGGGTCACTCTAAGAGAAAGGTGAGCTTGGAGCCTGGGTAGGTCAAGGCGGCCCACACTGTGGCTCATTCCCAAACAGGACACCAGGGGGTGTGAGAGCACAACATGTGACCCTGTGAGAGTCATCCCCCCTCCCCCTCCCCTTCCCCAGGGCAGCTGCAGAAGAAAAGGCACTCTCTGCCTCCTCTGTGAAAGGGTTGGCAGGGCAGGGAAGCAGATGGGCCTCCATCTCTGGCAGAATAGGTCAGCCTGGTTCTCACGGAAGGAGGGGAGCACCCCTGAAGGGCTGTTTGCAGGTGACTCAGGGTGGCCAGAACACCCAGATCCCTCCTCATCCTGGGAGCTAGGGAGACCACTAAGACCTGGCCCTCGCTGGGCAGCTTGGCTGTGGCCAAGTGGGACTGGGACGCGGGTAAGGTGGGCCCACGTAGGGCAGGTCCCCTCCATGCTGGCAGTGGTGGCTCATCCCGCCCTTCTCTGACCAGCATGCTCAAACCCCTGAGTCCTCCTCCCTCACCCTTGCCTGCCTCTGTGGTGAAGGAGACCCTGCCTGGTTTGGAAACCTCTGGGCTTTTCCAGAGCATTTGGTATTAGGCTTTTCTTCGGGAAGACTTCTCCATCCTCAAATTTACCCCTAGACTCTCAGCTCATTCTGTGCTCCTCCCCACAGCCTTGGGGAGAGAGAAAGCAAGAGGGCCAAGAGTCTGTGGAGAGGGCTCTACCCACCGCCCCCTCTCATGCTTCCTTCTCCTAGCCAACTCCTCAGAGCTCCTGCTTCTGTCCCCTGTGCAGATCTCCTGGGCTCAGCCAGGTGGGCCGATCTGGGCAGGCTCCTGGGCAGGCTGTGAGCTGCCCCAGGCAGGCCCCATGCCTTCTCTGACCCGGGCCCTGCTGCCCCCTGCGGGAACTGGGCAGACGCTGTTGCTGCAGGCTCTGGTGTATGATGCCATAAAGGTCAGTGTCCTGCGAGGAAAGGAGAGAAGGGTCCCCATGCTTGTGAAGAGCAAGTAGTGAGTTCTCTGGAGACCCCTGATGGTAATTTCCCTGGGGATAGGAGTCTAGCCAGGAGACCCCTGGAGCCTCTAAAGGTGAGTGGGGGGAGGGCAGGCCAGTTTGCAGGCATCTGTGTTTCACCTGGGTTGGGGACAGACCCTCTTCAACCTGGATCTAAGTGAGTTACAGCAGAATTACCATGGATCTGAGGGTGAGCCCCATCTGAGTGCATTCAGCCCTTCCTCCTCTTCACTGAGGCACTGACTGTGTCTGATACTTCTGGAACTCCTGGGCAAGGGCGAATGGGTAGAATTCCATTTTTCCCTGCCTTCCCATGGGTCTGATCACCATCTCTTGAAGGACAGTCCCTGTGCTTCCTTTACCAACTCCCATGTGATATACACTGTGGGGCTGGGGGTGGGAGGGGTCAGTTTCTCTTCACCTCAAGTGTATTGGTCATTCTTCTGATGATTACTCTCAGTGATGGTCACCTTGTCGTTGTGTTCTCTGCTCTGACCAGGGCAATGGGAGGAAAAAGCCGCCCCCAGCCTGCAGGAACCAGGTGGAGGCTGAAGTCATTGTCCACTCTGACTTCAGTGCATCCGCAGGGAACCCTGACCTCCACCTCCAAGACCTGGAACCTGGGGATCCCCTGCCTTTGGAGTCTCCTGACCTCACTTCGGGTGTTGTGGATCTAGGGCAGGGGGCAGACTGGCTGGACAGGGAGCTGGGAGGGTGTGGGCAAGCAACCACTGGGCCAGACAGACTTACCTGCCTGCCAGAGGCAGCCAATGCTTCTTGCCCCTACCCAGACCTCCAGCCCAGTGAGGCTCTGGAGGAGGCCCCTGGGAACAGCTGCCAGCCAAAGGCCCCTTGCCCTCTAGGAGCCAGCCCAGGGCTGCCAAGAGCCCCAGTCTCCTCTGCTTAGCTCTCCCAGAGGGTATGGTTTGGGGCAGGCTGGTATGGATCACATGACACGTGCGGCCATGCATGTACACGTGTGTGCCTGCAGATACTGAACATCATCAAGCCATTTGGAGCCTCCTAGGGTGCTCTGGCTGAGGGGAGAGGAAGAAATGGATTATTCACTCTCCCCCATACTCTGTGACACATGTGCTATGTGAGAGACGTGTGAGGCACAGCTGTACGTGATATACACATGTGTGAAACACATGTGTGTGTGCTGGTTGATGAGCTGGAAAACGTTACTCCAGGCAGTGGTCACTACAGCCTCATTGATCCTCCAGGTCAGGACAGTGCCCCAGAGTGGTCAGTTCCCAGCCCTGTGGGACCCCCACCTCCATCACCCACCTTTTATTACACACTCTGAGAGTGTCTCCAATGCCCTGTCTACGAAGACAGCCCCAGCCCACTTTCCTGTCTGGCTGGGCTGAGTGCAAGTAGGCTCTGAATGCCTAAGTTTTAGTTGCATCATCTCCCATCTCCCATATCCCCATTGCCCAAATTGAGAGGGTGACTCTGGCTCCCCTCAGAGCAACTCTGCATTTCACTTTGTAATTTGGGAAGTGCCTGGTTTTGAAAGTCTGCTTTCTCTTGCTCTCCCCTCCTCCCCTTCCCTTCACTACTCTACTGGTCTATCTCCCAATTAACTTGTTCTCCCAATTCCAGAGCCCGTCTCCCCCTCCCTGATACTCTTTCCTGTCCTGTCCGCTGTTTCTCTGTCTCTGCTGTCTCTCACACCTCTCCCCCACTGTCTTGTGGTTCTCCTGCCTGGGTTCAGTCTCTGCGTCCTTCCCTAACAACATGGCTACCTCATGTCTGCTTCCAGGAGGCGGCCGTGGCTCCCATGTCCGCTGTTCACTTCACCATCATCTTCCTGCCCCCTCTTCTCTCTGTGCCTCTTCTGCCCCCTCCCCAGCAGACTGCCTACCCCCAGTGCAAGTTTAGAAAAGACCTTCCAGCTTCCCTTGCATCTTTCTCCCTGGGACTGAGATAGGAATGTTCTCCTTGGAGGTGACGAATCCAAGTCACATGAGATTTTTGAGACAGGGAAAGGGGAATGTGACCCAGAGGCTCAGGATAAAATTCCTCCCTCCCTTCTGTGCAGGGAGGCAGGTTTGCTGGATGGAGGGGTTTGGGACCTTCCTTCCCGGCTGAAGCTAACTGGGGAGAAGGGGAGTGGGAATTAGGGGTGCCACAGCCCAGCTGCTTCCTACTCTGTGCTCCTTGAACATGAGCTGATGGGGTGGGGGTGAGAGGAATCTCGTCTTCTGGGTGCTGGAAGGGAGGTCTTTGCAAAGGACAAGGGTCGTTGGCTCATTTCATTTTGTTTTTTCTTTAAATTCAATCCTGAAGTCATTTTCTGTTGACGTGCCACACAAGGACAAGCTTGACTTCTATTTCCTGTGTAGAGAAAACAATGTCATTTATTTGATTTTGCACCTCAGCCTCTCCTAGGAGCATGGAATGTGGGGTCTTTTCTCCCTAAATGCCATCTTTTTAACTGATCGGCACATCAAGGGTTAACTCTGGCTTCTGGGCCAAATTAGAAATAACCAGTCTATCTTTCCCTTTTTTTTTTTTCATATGGTGAACTGTCTCTCAGCGGAGTTGCAGCTTCCTCAGACCCTTTCGGCATCTGTGTTTATTACACTCGGATGTCACTCACTTTTGACATCCGCACCTACGTCTCCTCCCCTCCCCCTCCTTCAGCCAGCCTATAACACTAAAGATTATTAATGTTGGTTTTGTATCTCGTTAAGGACAGAACTGTCACTTGTACTCTTCTGTAGCATTCAGCGTTGCTGTGGCTAACACCACTGTATATGTTTCATCATTGCTCTGAAGGTCAAAAGCCTCGTTTTATTTTTCTGGTTTGATTTTTTTTCTAAAGGAAAAAAACTGCCCTGAATTAAATGGCTGTTTTCATAGTAGGCTCTTAGCATTACACCACATAGTCATTTTTCATGTTCTTGTTTAACAGGCACTGAGGTTCTGGTTTAAATTAAATAGCTGCAAATGAGACAATTTATAACCCATTAGGTTGGGTGGAAAATTGTTTCTCAAAAGCAAATAAGTAATAAATCTGGTATCTGCCTGTAACTCACAGTTGATAAGAAAGTGGCCATTACTCACTAACATTATATATGATTTGGGCTCTGGGTAATTTGGAAGTGTTAGGTTTGTGTCTTTGTAGCAGTATTTTTATTAGAAAAGAGTCTATTGGCCTTTTACAGGGTATTAATCCCTTTGTCACCTACCATCGTTGCCTTACGTTTTTTGAGTCTCATTTAAAAACCTTCCTTTTCTTGATGCATGACAAGTGTAATCGGTGCCTGCTCATTTATTTGTCTGTATTTAGTTTATGCTATATTATTTAATTATTTTTTCCTCTATACAAATATGATATTCTTTAGTGTTAAGCCAAGGCATTGATCATGTATCTGGCCCTATAATGGACTAATAAACTATTTTCCGAAAATGTGGAATTCTCTTTTGGAACCCATGACTAGAATTTCCTCGGCCTTTCTGCCCTAGAGAATGTATTTCCTACCAGGATGGGAAATGTTGGTTTTTGAGGATAGAGAGCAGGTGGTCATGGGAAAGAACTGAACCAGCTTCCTCCCTCAACAGGCACTTAGGAAAAAGACTAAAACTTAGGGAAGATGATTTTTTTGTGTGTGAGGAAGATCAGCCCTGAGCTAACATCCATGCTAATCCTCCTCTTTTTGCTGATGAAGACTGGCTCTGAGCTAACATCTATTGCCAATCATCTTTTCAAAAAAACCCATTTTTTTTTTTTTTCCCCCAAAGCCCCAGTAGATAGTTGTATGTCATAGTTGCACATCCTTCTAGTTGCTGTATGTGGGACGCGGCCTCAGCATGGCCAAAGAAGCAGTGCGTCGGTGCGCGCCCGGGATCCGAACCCTGGGCCGCCAGTAGCGGAGCGCGTGCACTTAACCGCTAAGCCACAGGGCCGACCCCTGGAAAGATGATTTCTTTGATGGCACTCTTTTAGGCTCTCTGGGGATCTCTCTCCATCTGGGCACACAGTTTTTGAGCTTTCTTGTGTGCAAGGAAGGATTGAACAAACAACTCCAGAGATTTGGGCTCAAAACTATTCTTCTGTATAACTCTGGTCTGTAAAATTGTTCATGGCTGCACATTCACATGTATGGGCACTGCACCTGCAAGCTCAGAGACCCACACGTGCACACTCACCTTCACAAACACCCTTGTGTGCCTTAACTCAAGCATGGGCACACAGTCACACACAGAACTCCACACTCACACCCCACACACATCTCAAGATCAGAGTGGGCAGCTGTTCTGCTAAGATGTTTACAGAGCATGGACCATGCATTGCTTTTCTACTGAAAGGAACCGAGAGCCAGAGGCTGCCCTGCCCAGGACCACCCCCCAAGTGGTTGGTGGGCCAGACCCGACTTAATTGACAGATCATAGGGAGAGATACTGCATATTTTGCATGCAGCAGAATAGCCATTATTTGCATATCACTCTCAGACCAAAGGTTGTGATAAAGAAGAATTAAACACTTGTCAAAGAGTGAATTTAAAACGACAGCAACTCAGGACACCAATTTGACCTCTCCTGATCTAGGACAAGCCAGGAAGGGGTTGTTGAGAATTCAAGCCATGCAGGAGGGAGTTCCAGGACTTTGGGCCCCGGGAGCACCCTTTCCTATGGCCAGTAGAGGCCATTCCTGCCCTTCCTCACAAGGAAATCAGTTTGGGGCTTTTGCATGCTGGGGTCCCCTGACTCTGAATTTCTCCATTACCTTCCACTGCTCACTCATATGTCTCAAGTCCTGCCTTGCAGGCTCATTTTCCAATTACTACTACAGAGAAAGGAGTCCCTAGGCTGCACAAACCCCATTATTAGTAAACTTATCTGATTTCTGAAGGACTGCACTTCTTTTCTCATCTGCACCAAACTTAGTTTTATGTATGGTTAACACTCCTGATCCCAGAGTTGGTATCAAAAGAGAGACTTAGTTATTCCTCTGCCATCCAACACCAGAGGAGCAAATAGCTGAGTGAGGCAGAGACTACCACCTTTAAATCTCCTGCTCCCAGAACTTAGTAGACGCTCAATTATTTTGATGGACTAGCCCATCATGCTGGACTCAGTAGATCATTTAATAGTGAGTGGCCCACATTCAACATGTCCGAGGGCTAGCCTGGATATGTACCTCCAAAGAGGCGTGCCTATCTTCTATAACGTTCCCAGGTGGGACATATGTTGTCTCCTTATATGTTCTCTCACATGAACCATCGAGAGTCTTCTTTGTGGCATAGAAATGTTATTGGGAATTTTAACTTTCAATATGCTTTTCCAGTTACCAGGTCATTTGCCAGGACTTGGGTCGTTTAAAGGTCTCTAGAGGTTGAGTGGAGAGAAATGATTATCTTTATCTTTCAGATGAGCTCAGAGAGTGACTTCCCTGGGTTGGCTGGGCTAGACAGCAGGCAGAACTGGGATCGGAACGCGGGATACTCGAACGTTCTCATTGTCCTGTTGGGTCTGCTCTCCCCGGGGCTCTGGAGGAAGCTGCCTTCCCACCCCTCTCACCTCCCGTCCACCCAAACGCCAGAACTCTTCAGTCTAGAGAGTCCAGTCTTGCAGCTAAACGTCCTAGCCTTTGGGTGGAAGGACCAGAAACCCGTGGAAAACTGAATCTTTGACAACTTTGTGCAGCCTTTTTTTTTTAGGGAATTATCTCGAAAATATAGACTTGGACACAGTGGAGGAGGGCGTAGCAGAAAGAATGGGTCAGAGCAAATCCCGCAGCTTTCCGTGTTTCTCTGCAGCCCGGACCCACTCCAGAGTCCGCTGGGTCTCCACTTCCCCAGCACCCGAGGCCGGGGCTGGCCCGCGGGGAGGGGGTACGGGGCTGCAGCCCGGGACGGCGCCAGCCGCTCCAGCCGCAGTTCAAAGCGCAGGGGGCGCGTCCGCTGCGCAGCCGGGAATGTCCGGCCGCTTAAAGCGCTCGCCGGCTCTTTTGTTCCCCAGACCGGGCCTCCAGGGAGAGGGGGCTGGGGGAGGGGACCGGGAGGGGAGGGAAGGGGGGCGGCAGGCGGAGGGAGGAGGGCGGGGCGGGGCGGGCGCGGGCAGTGCGAGTGCGGAGCGCGCACTCCAGGCAAGGCTGACAGATCGCCGGGGAGGGTGCAAGATGGCGCAAGCGGCGCTCCTCCTGCGCCCCCGGTGCTCCTAGGCAGGCATGTGGCCCCAGCCCCCAGCCGCCCGGGCTCGGCCCCGGCCGGATCCCCG